GATCTCGAAGTTTTCGTTATGGGAATATGAATATTGACTACAGTTATGTACTAAGAGTATCACATGCTACTCTGCACGATTTCGTTTGTCCCCATTACGTATTAAAAGTTAGGCCTACTAGCGCGATGCACACGATAGCGCGCGATGTGTCGACGAAATCGCTCTAAAGAGCGAAATAGTACAACACTATAGCTCTTTTTGTGAAAGATACAAATGAGTGAATGAACGAAAGTACCAGGTACGTGTCGTGTGCTCGCTCGACGAAATGGGAACCAACATTTGTGCTCGCAGTAATAGAGGAATCAACACCGAAAACGAATATCTAATAAATAGACAGTGAAATTGATATTACATGATATTACATTTTATTTTTAAATTCGAAACTATTGGTTATTTATTAATAATTCGCTTACCCGAAGCTGGACCAATGCCGATTGATTATTTACATATTTATTGCAATCTGTTATTTACCCGTATCAAGCTAATTTGTCGCTAATGCGCTTGTAAATAAAGTTTATTTTATTTTGGCATACGAGCCTTAATCAGAATTATTATTATATTATTGATATAACTCGCTCCGGATTTTGCTTTCACTGTCTATAATGATAATTTAGGGGGAAAACCTACAGTGCGAGTGTTCATAACATACTTTAAACTTTCTTTAAGAAAGCTACCTACCATTCATAAACGGTTAATATAGCTCTAGCAGCTAGTTTTACATTTAATGTAAAACACGATACGTTTTCCCCCATTGTGACGATGATCATGCGTTATAGGGAAGCGACAGTCGCTGCGATAGGCTATTAGTTATAAAATTATCAAAGGACACTAACAGCTACGCTAGAGAAACGGTTCCAAAAGACAAGGAAGTATAAGGATGAGCAAATGTGGTTTTATATTACAGTCAATAACTTTACAACAATAGCCGTCACAGCGTCGAAGAGTAGGCGTTGTGCAATGTATCAGTGTTTATTATTTTAATAGAATTTTGACGTATGAAGTAATAGTAACACATTTAGTCGATGTCTCGAGTTTTCCACCACGTGAAAAATATTTCAATCGATAAGTGTCAAAAAACATGCCGATCTTAGCCGTTCAGTTCGCGGTGTCCCAACACTAAACGTTGCTATTGTTTGAGCATTTGACTAGAGTTGTGCAACATATAACGTTGTGAGACCGTTATTTAACCGTTGTTTAGTATTGAAATATTTTTACGTGTAGAATGTTTAACTTACGTATTTTATTTCCTATGGAAGATTTCATTTCTTCTTTGTGTCTTAACTAACGGAATTGCATACGCCTCGGCCACTGTGTTTATTTGTGCTTGTGCCCGAGTCTAAGGCCATTCCTATCACCTAACACCATAAGCTGCTTACGCTTAAACACTGCTTAGAAAATGCTACATGCTTTTTTCCATCGTACAGTACTATTATCACCGATATCAGTTTTGGACAGTCGATTTCACGCATTACCTTCAGAATTTTCAATTGATTTACTTATTAAATATGGGCCATTAACCATTTTTGTACGCGTGATTGCATGATTTTAATCACAGGCCAAAGAAATAGTGGGACTATCACGACACGTGTCTCAGACGTTATTATAAAAGAAGCACTTTTGAAGAAGCCACCTTCAGTTTCTACAAATATTACGAGCTTATACAGTCGACTGTTACTTATATAACACATTGATTTCTTTACATTTCTCAGGCCTGTGATTTCCCTTAATCATTAAACTTTACAATTAAGATCAATCGTCACGTGTCTATATTTTTATTTTTGCTAATTTCACAGCCTCATTGTCAATTAGCCTATGCGTATTTAGAGTATTGTTTCTGTGTTGCCAATTAATTATTATTTTTTTTATTAATATTATTTTTAATTTCTTAAAAAATGCATCAAAACACCGTTTAAAAAGTAGCCGTTATGTTATAGCAGTTATTATCCCATGCCACTTACTGGGGTCCAATTTTTTACTTTATCTATGTCATATCATGTCGAACTAGCGACTGGTGGCCAGTATATGACAGTCTACAACGCAGTCGGCGTTTTGTAGTTGCTTTTGAGTTATGATAACTTTAGATTACAACCATTAATGCGTTGAAATATATAATGATTGCGTACACAATTCACAGACCACATCATCACTTAACATCAGGTGAGATTGCGGTCAAACGCGCCCAAATTTTAATATAAAAAAAACAAATAAGTGATGTGATTAGAAAATAAGCGACCGTTTAAATTTAAAGCACAACTTTTTAAGTCTAACAGTTTTACTATATATTCATGTTTCGATATTATGATTGAATCTAAAGTTATCAGAGCTCACTCAAGCGGCTTACAATTAGTAGAACGTTTTGTTGTTCTCCACTTACAAACTATGAAGATATGAATATTACATTATATTTTAAAATACATATAAAAATATTAAAGATAAGCTGTCCGTTAATGTCGTGGTTAAATTTATACAATAACGTTATTGCTTCGTTCCCATGTCTAACATCTAGTGATGGGCCTCGCCCACTAAGTCATTGAGCATTGTTATATTCACTATAACATTTTTAATTTACACAGACAGACAGAAATGGCGAACCGACAAAACATTCTACTAAAGTACAGTCAGTGACAATATTACCTAACGCTAACAACATTCCAAAATATTTTTTGCATTTCTCAATATTAATTATTATTTATTTATTATTATTATCTAAAAAGTCGATGAGTTCTCATTAATTACTTTGGTGTTTTATGTTTCGATTCAACCGTTACATTCACATATGCGACAAAATTCAAAGCAATCGAAACTATAAGGGTGGAAGTAATTCACAAAACATTGTATGAAATCTCAAGATTAATCGCCCTATACGATATACTAATAAATAAATCAATTTAGGTCTACATACGAATATCGAGCATGGTTTACAATAATTAAAAATATTAAATAAATTACCACACCTATTACATCGATACAATTAAAATACAAGTAATTGCACATCACTAAATTAATGTGTTAATCTATGAAGAAAACAGTGCTGTAGTCAGGGCGGATGCAAAGGGCGCATGCCTTCCGTCGCACATTAATATTTTTTTTATTGGGTTGTTTTGGCTATTGTCAGGTGTTAAGATCTGCGACGTATATAGATCTATTTCTCGCTTTTTCATATTAGTATACAAATCCCTCCATATTTGATTTTTTTTTAATTTCCGCCTGACTGCAACATGATAAAGAATACCTGAAATTATCATACATAAGGTTTTAACTTATCAACGTTAATTATATAATCAACTATTCTGAATTATAAGTAAATGTTAATTAATGGAGTAAACGACTAGCGAACAGTTGAAGTTTTATGCTGAGTCCAAAATAACACAAAACAACAACCACTTTAACCTAAGACACTACTGGGTAGGTTAGCAAATCTTGTGCTGTCTACCCTCAAACTGTTTGCCAACTATACCATCGTATTGTAATTAAATTAATCATTCATACTCGTTTCAGCACGCCCCTCCATTGTCCATGATTCTTTTTGTCACCAAATGGAGAGACGATTTGAAACTAAACTAAATCAAACATCCACATCATTATCACTACCCTGAAAATCACTCTGTACGTCTGTACTTCACGTTCAGCGTGACACTCAGGAATGAGGTAACTCACAATTTTGTCTAAATTAATAAATATACCTAACAATAAAACATATTATGACTAAATTGGAATGAAATGCATTAAGCTGTATGAAATAAAGCGAAAGTAATTTTTTTTACTTTTTTTTAAACATTAAAATTAATGGTAAAGTGTTGCCACTCGCGCATCTCGAGTGCGGATAAATAAAGTTTACAATAAATAGTAAACTAACAGTGGCGCATATACTCACACACACACTGGTTAGTGTCTACCAACGCCTCTTCGAGTCATTTGTTTAATATATTTTTATTAAATTACTGGCTATTAGTTATTGCACGTTTTACATTTACAATAAATATATAAATAGTTGTAAATTTTAATTTCCATCTTTGGTATGTAATAAGTACCTATTATATCTGAAATGTTACAAAACTGTTTTTACATATATTAAGTATATATTTTTTTTACAAAAATCGTAGGGTCGTTAGGACGGCACGATATTAAATCTATTCAAGTTCGATGTTCGTAAATAGGTCTTTGTCGGGTTCGAGTTACTATGGCAATGCTGATATCCGATGTGGCGTGTATCCCAACGCGGCGTGAATACAATATTATTAATTTTTTTTAACAATTTTTTTTTCTATTTACAAATTTTCATTTAGACTAAGACAATTAAAGCCTACTTAGAATAGACGCAGGGTCGCATCCATACATTATTATTATAGCAGGTACCGATCATATGTTTTGACATCGATTTAACTTTTGAAACGATATCGTTAGACTAGAGTATGCACCATTTTGTTCCGCGAACGGACTCTACTCACTAGTCACTCGGGTGACATCGGTTTCGGCCTGGCGACGTCCATCCCTCTCGGCTCGGTGGGATGGGGCGGGGGCCCGCAGCCTCCCTGACGCCGCCCCAGGCCTCCTCCCCTCCCCCGCCCGCCCAACGCACGTTGCCCAGAACAGCTCGATCGATTTTCCCCCTTCCCCCATCCCTCTCCCCCTCTTCCGCACGAAATGTATCGCCGCTCTGTGTACAATCCGTGATTTTCCGACACGAACTAATATAAGCGTATTGCGAATTCTAGTTTCGTTACCGCCAAAATTTATCTCAAAAAACTAACCTACCTATCAGTGGCGTCGGTCGACGACCATTGGGGCACCGCGGCCCGTCTCGTCTTGATCTTTCCCGTTTTTTTATTATTTTTTTTTTGCTAAAATTTTATCAAAACCTATCACAGTTTTTGATTAGTTTCATCCTTAATTAGTTTAATATATGATTAAAATATACGTATAGATAATATATATTTTCCATTCTTTTAACAATATAATACTATTTTACTTCGTTATAAGGAACGCGGGTGTTACCGCGATGTCTTCTTGTCTCGCTAAACTAACGGACGTGAGCGACAGAGATGAACATACTTCCATATATATATTTTGGCATATTACTTATTGATTTGTGTCCAATTATCTCCTTAACCACGTATGTTATACTCGTACATTAACGTACTTAACACGATATGATCGCTTATAAAATTGGAGTATAGCACAGCATAATGTTATTATTGCTAATAAGTATTATTATTATTATTATTATACCCGAAAACTATTTCTCGATAACCACAACCGTTCATAAGCGAAGTTTAATATCATTATTTTGTTATTGACTATGACCATATGTCTGTTTCGGTGGCGGACAGTGTTCGCCGTCAGCATCTCATGCTGTACATTGGTGTAAATTTATTGCGTGCTCGGGGCGGCCTTTCATTCAGCTACAGCCATCCCATCCGGACATGCGCCGAAACCGCGGGAGGGTGGCGAATCCGCCATTTTGATTTCCCCAAACACTTAACCCAATTCCGTCTACTATGAATGCGCGTAAATGAACATGGCCGCTGAACAAAGGGTCGCCGCACATTGAGCGAGTCAAAAACATTCGCTACTTTCTAATTAATGTACAAAACGTGACCCGTTGTCGCATCGCGGCGTCGCGCGTCCGATGCGACAACGGGTGAGCGTGGCGCCGGAAGACGTTACTCCACGTCGGGTCCAAGTCGTGCGACAAGAGCTGCAGCCGCCGCGCCTCCGGGGCCGGCGCTGCTGCGTGTGTGTGTATGTATGTATATGTATGGGTGCGCGCCTGCTGTGCCGTCCTATCGTCCAGCTAGGCCGAATCCTCGACGATCCCTTTAGATGGTCTTGATCTTATTGGTCTTGAAGCTGACCTGCAGCACTCTGTTCCCGAGCGTGTACCCGTTCAGCGACTGGATGGCGACCACGGCCTCGTCGTAGTTCGTCATCGTGATGAACCCGTAGCCTTTGCACTTATTGGTCTGTAGGTCCCTTATGACTTTAACGCTTTGGACGGCGCCGAAGGGCCCGAAGAGCTGCCAGAGGACGTTCTCTTCTGTCTCCGGTGCAAGGTTGTACACGAAGATGCACCACTCAGAGCCGACGGCGCCGGGCAGCACGCCGCCGAGGAGCTCGCCCGCCAGCGGGCTGTAGCGCTGCAGACCCTTATTGATTGCTAATAACGACTTGCCTGAACTGAACCGGCCGAGGGGCGCCGGAAAGCGGAGCGCTGCCGGCAGGTACGCGGCCAGCGGTGCCAGCGCCTTCCCGTTGTTGCTCGGATTGTTCGCGAACTTCACAGTGATCGGCTCCGTCGCACCTTTGGGCACCGTTCCGTTTAGCTCCTGGATCGCTCGTTCCGCCTCCACACGCTGATCGAAGCGGATGAAGCCCACTCCCTTGGAGAGGCCCTGCTCGCCGCCCGTGAACGGTCTTCCGCCGGAGTTCTCGCACAAAATCCGCGATGTGATAATGCGTCCGTACGGACTGAACATCCGCTCCAACTCGGTCTGTGTCATTGTTTTCGGGAGTCCTGATACGTATAGATTGGCTCCTTTGATGGCTTCGCTGCTGGGCCGCGCGTACGACACTTTAATAGTTTTGTTCTGCAGCCGCAGTCCGTTAAGAGTGGCAATAGCCTTCTCAGCATCCTCCGGTCGGTGATAGTTAACGAACGCGTATCCCAAACTCTGTCCACCACCGTGCAGCGCGTGATTCAGTGCGTCCGGGAACGCGGCCCCTTTGTTTCTGATCAACTTGCAAGACTCCACTTCCCCAATACTCGAGAACAGACTCCTTATCTCCTCCTGCGTCATACTTTGAGGGAGGTAGTTGATGATGAGGTTGGTTTTAGACTCCTCGCCCGATCCATTTTGCTGTTCACCGTCGCCTTTCGACATGGTGGCGGCTTAAATCATAAACGGAAAGAACGAAAGGGAAACGAAAAACGCGGTAAAAGAAAAGCACGGTGCGTCCGCTGCGGTCGCGCGCGCGAGCGATATGACGGGGGTTGTTGTAGAGCCGGGGGTGCGCGCATGCGTCCGCTATCGACCCGGACTTACATAACGAGGTTCGTTCACCCCTCCCAGTTGGAACGTTGGTATAGTGTCCGAAAAAACCAGATACACCCCGTCTCATCGATCTGCCCGGGAAAACGTAACTAGGTTCCGTGTACTATCTCACATTGCTTGCACCACGAATGACTCTTTGTTTTTTATTATAATAATAGTTCATTATTTGATCCTTTGTGCCCGCCAGCTCGCATTTAGCATACGTACCTATATCTATTAAATATTTAAGTCTAAAGTAATAGTATAAAGACATTATATGTTGCAATAATTTGAATTTTATTCCTTTGTAACATATAAACTTATATTAAGAAATAGCTAGTTTATAATAAAAAAGTAATATTTCTTACAAAAGAAAGGAATATTAGTTATTTCATATTATATATTAACGGATCTTTTGTGAATTGGTTTATTATTTTAACGTTTATTGTTAAATGAAATTAATTTAATAATAAATGTTAAAATACCAAAAGATCCATAAAAATACAAACAAATGTTGTTGACTAGATGGTTGTTTATTTAATAGGTACATTTCTTAGAAATAAATATATGTATTTATAATTAATTATTATAAATAAATATATTATTACAAATTAATAAATATTTATATAAGACTGTTTAGCATTTTTGATTTTTGTAATTGTAAACATCATTTACAATAGTTTGTGCTTACTTGAACGCCATACTAATATTATAAATGCAAAATTGGTCTTGTCTGTCTGTCTATTACATTACATAACCAAACACCGTACCGAATCTTAATTTTTCAACAAAAGATTGTACGTATCACGAGAATGAATATAGTCTAAATGCAGAAAGAAATGAAGTTTTGAGTAACAGCTGAAAGATATATTGGACCTCTGTGCTATTGATTAGCGGTTTAGCACTCCGCCTTACCTCTAATGGTCGCAGGTTTGATTCCTCGAACGGTACAAAAATTGTGTTTCTATGTATGACTGTTTTTATGAGTCTGGTGTTTTTTATGTATATTATGTATGCATTAATAATGTATTTAAGTAAATCTATCAATTGTATATTACCTATAACACAATTTCTGCTTAGCTGGAGACTAGATGATGCTGTGTAACTTATCCTGGATTATTATTATTATCTTGAATTGCATTACTGAACTTTTTTTATTAACTACATTTGAATTATTCCAAATTTGAATTTAAATGACTGTGTATTATTAAACATGTTCAACATTATTTGAAAAGAGCTGAGTTTCTTGTCAGTTCTTCTCATCTCGAAATCATTCCGAACTGACGGTAGATTTGACATATCATAAGAGTCTGTAATAGACTTACATGAATAAAGATATTTTGAATTTGAATTGAATTTAAAATTTGAACTTGCGGCTCGCCTGATGGTAAGTGATTATTGTCGCTCATGAGCACCCGCAACACCAATTGCAAGCGCGTTGCCGGGAGATGGAATAAACTCTTTTCTTGAAGTTTTCATTATCGTATCGATTCGGAAATACCATTACTGGAAGGTTTCAAAGATTCCACATTGTGGTTGTAAAAAGTTTATGGAAAAACTCATGGTGGGACTCAAAGACTTCCATTCATCCATTTGTTTAGAATTGTATTTTATTTATTTATTTATTTAATTCAGGCTACATGGCCCATATTATAAATACCTTATAGACTAACATACATAAGAAATAATAATAAAATATGAAAAATAAAATTGTCTCTATGGTCACGGCACTGACGACGGCAATCTGCCACGGAGGCGCCGATACACCACCCCCTTCGGCCAGTAGTCCTCCTTCATGAAGGTGGGCAGCATGTTGGTGGGGACCAGGGCCACGAACGCTTTGAAGCTCGCGTTGTGGTATTATTGTAAGTAATCTATACATATATATAAAATGGGAGTGTCTGTTTGTAATATTCAAATAACCGTTTTTTACTACATGCATATACTACATAAATACTGTACATACATACACCAAAATAACATTCTTTAGAATGTTTGTCTGTCTGTCTGTTTGTTCCGGCTAATCTCTGAAATGGCTGGACCGATTTTGACGGGACTTTTTTTGGCAGATAGCTCATATAATAAGGAGTAACTTAGGCTACTTTTATTTTAGAAAAATAAAGTTATAACAGCTAGTTGTAAATTTAATTTATAATGATAATTATGAGTTGTACAACATAAATACATAATTGTATGTAGATTAAATTAAATAAATATAGATTATCATAATAATAGACGCAGGTTAATTTAACAACTATGATAATAAGACCATATCGGATTGAATGTTAATAATTGAGTATGGAGAGCGCCCTGCTCTTCTACTTGCAAGTATAATAGCTTGAAAAATTATGCTAAATTTGCCAGGGTTACATCTAAATACTGCATTCAAATAAAAAAAAATATTTCATTATTGTTTTTTACTTAGACTTTATTGGTCTTAAGTAAAAAGTTAACTATCTAAAATACGATAAACGTGCAAAACGTCATCAAATAAAAAAAATCGAAACGATATTTCATTATTTCGGAATTTTTTTCATGGTACTTATCGATCTTTATTGGTCTGTTCAGGTTACGAACACTGATTAGACTATTTGCTTTTGCAATAGCATATGCCGGTGGTCACCCAAATTTTAAGTTAAAAATGATATTGTATTATTGTAAATCTATTGTAATCTAAATAAATAATAATCTAATCTATGGAAATAAGAAGAATGAAGCAAGAAACTTGCGTGTTGCTCACTCACAATTTGCATGTATTTACGACAAAAATATCTATGTATTTGTATTAGTTATCTAGTACCCATAACACAAGCTTTAGCTAGCTTAACTTGGGTGTGAATTGTCCTGAGATTATACTACATAAGTGTATTTCATCATCATTGCAGCTCGGAAGACGTCCACTGCTTGTCATAGGCCTCCCCCAAAGATCACCACGATCGGTCCTGCGCTGCTCGCATCCAATGCCTTCCAGCGATCTTGACCAGATCGTCGGTCCACCTTGCTGGAGCCCTTCCCACGCTGCGTCTTCCGTTTTATTTCAATAAAGATTATTTTTCCAATAATTAGAGCTAAAAACATGTTCTTGCTTGTCTTTGCGTGTCAATTTTTAAATGTAATATGTATTAGTATATTGTAGTTTCATGTCGTTGCATATATATTTATGTTTATAATTAGGGATCAAGCCATATGTAGGGACGTTTATGAAACAATCTATCACGCCGATACTAACAAATTAATATACCTGAATAATAATTAACTCGCAACAGGGGTTCTATCTCACGGCAACCCTAATAAAACATTGGGGGTGGAGCAATTTATATGCAAATACGACCGGACCGTTCTTTCAAAAGCTTTACCGGTGGCGCGTTATATAAAGCCACTTACCTTATGCGTGTGCTGTGGCTTTACTTCCTTTTTATGTGACTGGACTGGCAGAGACCATGACGGTCGGTGGTCTAGCGGTTAGTACACTGCTTTATATTAGATGGTCGCGGGTTCGATTCCTCGCACGCATATTAGTAGTCATTGGTGTACATGTTTTAAAAACGTAATGGTAATCGCTCTTTGTACGTGTAAAATGTTGAGTTATTTATTTTCAAATATTAATGCAAATATATACAATTGAAGTGTCTGTAATTTCAAATTAACAGCTTTGATCTGATACGGTACTGATATAAAAAAAATTGTAAGTCTGTTTGTTCTTGCTAATCTCTGAAACGACTGGACAGCTTTTGACGGGTTTTCACACGCAGAAAGCTAAGGTTATAAGGCTACTGTTGGGTAGTATTATATATTTCTCAGTTGATTATGATGATTGAAAGAAAACTAAATAAATAAATGAAAATAATTTGCTTCCGTATATTGTGAAAATATTAAAGAAGGAAAAATAGATGGAAAGAGAGGAAGGGGAAGACCGAGACACAGCTATATCAAGCAAGTTAAAGAAAAAGTTGGAGTCGTGTCGTATCAACAGCTAAAGGGACTGAAAGAAGATCGTGGAAGGTGGCGGGAGCTCCACCGACATGAGCACAGCTCTTAAATTATGAATGAATGAATGAATATTGTGAAAAGATCAATTGCAATGAAAAAACAAAAGAAGAATAGTGATGGTAACATTAAAACGTATGTGGCTATAAAAAAGTATAATAGGCTTAATTTTCAACAGCTACTAATAACTCAGATTAGATAGATAGATAAATTCTTTATTCACAATTACAGACACATAAAATACATGAGATACAGAAAAACACGAATTAATAAAAGAAATGTAGGTGACTTTATGTGCCGCAAAAGTGAAAAAGTAGCCAACTCAGCATAATGCTACAGATAACTCTGCAGCGCTGATATTCTGTTGGCTCCATACTTATACTATACTTATTACTAAGAAAATGACATAAATATTAAACTTCGAGCTCTTTATCAAAATATAAAAAATATGAATAAACTGTAAATAATGTGCTGAATTATATAATTAAAACTACATGCATTTAAGAAATTTTATTTATTTTAATATTATAAAGAAGATTAAATTCAACGCGGACGAAATCGCGGGTAACAGCTAGTTTAGAATATAAACCACCCTCAAATACTCGTCTAGCCTTTCACAACTACAGAGGTAGACCTGCCCTGTACATATATTGCGAGTACCGTAATTCTAAACGTAGGTATATGAAGGGATCGAACAAAGGTTGCCATGTTATTGCATTGCCAGCAAAATTAGTGTATAGCATAGACGGGAGATTAATAAGGGTTCTCACACAAACACACGGATCTGACTTTGATGATAGCTTAGATTTTTTCGCAAAAGTATTGAAATTGAAATGAAATTTATTTGTTACTAGCTGTACCCGCGACTTCGTCCGCGTGGAATTTAACTTTATTATTCTAAATTAAAAGATTTTTCTAAAATCAAAGTAGCCTAGGTTTATTACATC